AGCACAGAAACAACAGGGAGCAATACTTACACATTTTCTGGATGTGGTAAGACTGTATTAGACATTCCTTTACCTGGAAAAGTTCTTGAGCATCACATGAGGATTTCAGCTCCCTAACAATCATGGAAATCAACATGCTTTCTGAATAGCTGAAATCATAGTTCTACTTTAAGGCAATAGTCCAATGACAGTAGTATATCTACTATTCCCCCTCATCCAAGTGTGACATGCTTCAGTGAATTTCCTATCACAGTTTTAGCAGAACAAATTTGTTGACTATTGAAATGATGTGTTATTTAGTAAAATGAAAGCACAAGGATTTTTGCCTAGCTTGAAATGAGAATAAAGAAGTATTTATCTAGCCTAGTGAGATTCCTAAGACATAAGATGTTTAGATATTTCAGAAGTCACATTACATGTCTGTCTAATCTTTGATAACAGAAATATCACCTCGGAGTGCAGATCATATAACACATGCATAGCAAATGAAGTGATAGATAAGCACAAAAGATATTTATTGAACATTTAATTAAAATAGACACATTATATTATAAAGTGCATTATATTTATTTTCTCATTTTTCAGGCACATTGAATCTGCAAAACATGTAAGTAGGGAATTTATTAGACAAACCAAGTAATTTAGGCTTGGAGAGCTTTAGTTACCTGTTAAGCTGCAGAACTAGGGGCTAACCCTAGAGCTATCTTCCTATAGCTGCCATAACCACAGAGGGCACTGTTTATGTACATTGAATTACCATAAGCATTTTTATTAGAGTAATTTGTTTCACATCCTTGTGCTCTCAGATTGAGATGGTGCTAACTAAGCTGTACTAAAATTATATTAGTACTATATTAAAGAAATCATGTTTCTTAGTGTAAGTTTGCCTCACTCATTGATTATATTCATGGTGGAAAGTTGGTGGGTGGTGCACAGTTCTTTTTACTAACCTTTGTCCTCTTTTCCCTGCATATCCTTCCATCTCTAGTTCCTGTTAGCATTTACACTGTATTTATTTCTTATTTTGCTCTTTACATTATTTATACCATGGTTACTTCTTAAAGTAACCATGTGGTATTCGTGATCATTACTTTGTACTTACTGGTTTCATATGTGTAAAATACTGAATATGGGACCCTTGCTTTTACCATGCAGTAAAATAAAATCAAATGATCAAAGAGCTAAATAGTAAAATAGAAATGTTTAATTTTTTGGAAAATAAAATTGACAAAACTTTTGAAGACATAGCCATAGCTGAAGACTTGGAACAGAACCCTGGTTGTAGGGGAAAATAGTACTGAGAAGAAATAAACGGCATGTTATGAAATTAAAACACTTTGCACAGCCATAGGAATAAACAATGGAATGAAAGGAAAATTTATAGACTGGGAAAACATGTTGACAGCTATTTCTCAGAGACGTAATATCTAGAGTATATAAAAAACTTAAAAATATTATATCCCCAAAATAAACACTGATCCAGAAACTGGGCAAATAAAATGAATAGGCACATTTTAGAGGAAGTACAAATGACCTATAAAATTAGCACTATTTTTCCTCCCTATAGACCTCTTTGCATGCATGTGTCCACTTGACACTAACTGGCCTGCTTGGTAACCGCTTCGAAAGTCAAATGTCTCCTTGGAATTTAACAATGACACTAAAACTCTCTGTTTTATTTTAGCTCCAGTCCTTAACAGAAGAAATACAAACAGCAAAGCTGTATGGGGTTTTATTCCTGTCTTTTGAGTGGAGATTTACAGATAAGTTGATCTGCAGAGATAAGGTTGAAGAAGTGGATTCAAAAGAAAAAGCAGAATCTTAGCAATTCTTCTGATCTAATTCCTTCTATCGTGTAGCTACACTCTTACTTTCAGTTTCATGAATCACTCTGCTATCTTTTCAATAAGTTATTTTTTTTAATTTAAACTAGCTCAAGTTGGTTTGTGTTGCTTGCAATAAGCCATTCTAACTAGTAGGGCCTCAGTCTTTCCTGTGTGATGATAAATTCCTTGAGGTGGGATGTGTGCTATTCATTTTTCATACATTCCTAGAATCTAAAGCAGAATTTGGAAAAGAGAAGATAGCCTAAAACATTTCTTGTACAGAAATATCATTATAATCACAAGTAACTTATTTGTAATGTGTGCATTAAAAATTTTATGAATGGTTTTTCTCTACCTATTTCTCTCCATTCTCATCCTCTTTGTATTTTTGTTTTATAATCCAAATTCTTCAATCAGTCCATATGTGAAAAACATATTCTTGGAAATTAATTACTGAAATTTAGTTGCTGATGCTGTTTTTCCTGTTTGGCCAAATATATAATCAAAAGTAATCCTTGAGGTTTGCCCTAATCATTGAAGCTGACACTCAGATAGTACTGTCAAGTTCTGAGAAATGCCCACTGAATCCCTTGTCAGAGGCAGATGTGTGTGATAGACGAGCAGAGGTCTAATACATTATAGTGTTTATTTCCTTTTAGTAGTCTCATTAAAAAGAGAGAGGAACAATGAAAAAATATTATTTCTCAGTTTAATAGTCCTCTTCAGAAAAACATTCATTTGCCATTTACTTAGCATGTACCGTGCTTTGAATCCCATGGCTATGTATTAAGCTATAACCAGGCATTGTCTTCAGGGATTTCCTGTGTACTGCTTACTAACAACTGTTGTGAGCTTAGAAAATCTAACACTCTGACACTTGCCTGTTGTGAACAGTGATGTTGCTAGCAAGGCAACATAGGAATGGGAAAGAGTGGAATGAAGAAAGCAGGATGGTCATTATCAAATGTTACCCAGGCATTAACTGCCCATACATAAGCCCCAGGGTAAGACAACCTGAGTAACTGTGTATATTTCCATAAGTACCTGTGTATATTTCCCAGAGGTCAATTAAGCATCAATCCATCATGAAGGGTTTACCTAGGAGTAATTTCCATGGATGGGAATATAATGTATTAATGTCCTGATACAAAGCTTTTTGTTACTTGATGATTCCACTCACATGATGTCATTTGGTCCCAGTGTATTTGTTCTAAAATTACAATTATTGTAATTTCTATGTGTTACAATATCTCGGGGATTTACATTAAGAACAACCAAATAGAATTGATAAAATAAGAAAGGATTCTGAAAGTCTTGTTCAATTAATGAAACACATTTTCTTTTAGACATGATTTTGGAAATAGAAAGAGAAAACTCAAGTCAATCAGTATTCTCATAAGATGCATAAAATTGTGTCTTTTAAATCACTTCTCAGAATCTAAGTTAGAAAAGTCACCAAAATTAAGAATTGCTGACATGTTTATTTTTATCTCACATTCGTATCAATAATGTTTCAATAACTTCGAACTGATCCTTAACAATTATGACTGGTGTCATCAATATTTCAAAACTAGAAAGTATAGGAAAACAGAAAAAATGTGATGGGCACAAAGGCATAAAATCTGAGATAATGAAATGTCAAATAAAAAATAATTTAAGCAGCTGTACTCTTCAAATAGTATATATAAATTCAAGTTAATGAATTAGTTGCCTTCTTATTCATGCTTTCATGATTGGGTAATCTCAATGAGAAGTAAACAGTTGCTTCTGTACACAAGTAGCACATTCAATGTATGGAAAATAACTTGTTTTCTAAAATTAACCTGCCGTTGGAAAAAGCATTTCATACTGTCATCTCAGCTCAAACTTCCTGTGCAAAAATCTTTGGAAATTTTAAAGGCAAGACAGACCTGATAAACAATCGAAATTTTGTGGAATCTATATTGGTTATATTTTGTCACAGGTAGTAAATAAGCACCCATTTTATATGTTCATCACTGAACACAATAATAAGAGTCAAATTTAGAATACAGGATTATAAGATGTATATAAGGGAGTTGCCACATATATATATCCTAGGGAAAAATACCTCTTTAAAAATTGTCTGTTACACTTAGCTAACTGGTTTATGAATTGTTTTTAACACTTTTTCATATGCAAAATGGGAATGATAACACATCAATTTCATAGAGTGATCATTATGATAAAGTGAAACAAAACAATATGAAAAATTTCCAAATTTTTTTGGAAATTCTGAAGCACTGGTCACTATGGTAAGATTAAAAGGGCCGGGGAGATGGCTGAGTGGAATAAGCGCTTCCCTGGCAAGTGCAAGGGCCTGAGTTCAATCCCCAGTTCCGCAAAAAAACAAAAACAAAAACAAAAAAACACAACAAAGATTAAATATGTATAGTGTCCTTACATATTACAAGTATTGTTGATTATTTATTTCCTATTTTTGAATCCCTGAATTTGGATATTTAGACCCTGCTGGAAGTACCTGCGAAAGCTCAGCACAGATTAAACAATGCAAACCATTTCCAAGTGTTACTTTCAGTATCCCTGTGCAAAGAGGCAAACCCCAGTGAGCAAAGTAAAGGTTAAAGTACAGCACCAATGTCTCCTGACTGAAGAGTGACAACATAAATACAGCCTTACAGGGAAACATGAAGATTGTTTTCGTTTAAAGATGTTATCTATAATTGATGGCATGAATAAAATGTGATTTTAAAGGCAGGTTGGGCGCATTTAGAAGAAAAGACCAAGGGCATCTACTAGGCAGTATCAAAAGGTTATGAAAAAATTAGATCTATAACTCAGTTAATGGTTAGGACCATGTAAACAATAGTAGATATCTAGGATATCATAATGCTAAACTCATCCCAATCTAATTTCAACCTCTGCATCAAGCTACATTGGTTTTCCCATTCCACTTGAAATCATAAATTCTTCTTTTCCCCACATCCTGTCACCCCTTTTTCATCACCAAAATATACATGATGAAAATTTCCAGCTTAAATAAAGAAAATGTGCTGCCACTGGACTAATATCTGCCAAGTTCATTGATCAGGACTATGTATTATTCATCAGAGGGGCAGTATTCCCCTTTGTGGGGCAAATGTCAGGAATGACGTGAGGTAAAAAGTTTGTAGTCAAATGTTTGGAAGCACTTGCCTTGAGTAGGTCCAGCTTGAGCCTCCATGTCACAGCAAACAGGAGAGAATTTAAAACCTGTAATAGTGAAAATTTTGTTAATTAGCCCTTGTGCAAGCTATCTCAAACTTCAACCTCAAACTTTCAAGTTACACTTGAAAAACAGCCTTATTAAAATATAATTCACATATAGAAATTAGCAGGCTTAGTATTTTCAGAGTTGTGTAACTGGCACCACTACCTCATTTTCATCACCCCCAAAAAAACCTCAGACAGGATTTCACACAGGTAGTTTACATCCCCCTGTGCAGAAACTTCTTTCTTGTATTTTAATATTTCAACTCAGTGAAACACAGTAAGTTCCTACATCATGAATAGAAAGAGCTGCCAGTATAGAGTGGTTGCCTACCTCTCTGCCAAATAAGAAAAACTAATTAGCCATTGCTAACAGACCAGGCTTTGTGGTCATGGTAATGGGATCCTGTGAAATTTGGACAAACGAAGTAATGTGAAGAGTAGATTAATGTGTTTAACAAGCATTAGTATGCTTTTTATAAGAGGATTTTATTCTTTGGTCAGGATAAGAGAGCAGAAATAAAATAAATCAACCCCTTATTTATATATCAAAGCTTTTTATGAAAGTTGCAAGAAAATAATATATAATTACTATATAATGAGAATGCTGTTAAATACCTATTGCCTGGCTAGTGGTAAACATTAATCCATCTTCTTTTTTTAAGTCATTTCAGTCTAACCTGGTTAATTTTAATCTGTCTGTACATTCAAAAGATAAATCTCAATCAAAATAGGAAGGACAAACACAGTCTTCTACATAGTTGTTCATTTCATGTTTCATATATTGACATAAAATCAAAATACATGGCATGAGCATTTTTATAATAAATCTCAGTTATTGGATTGGAGAAATGATAAAAATAAAAGGTGAACAATAAATAAGACATGAACAATATTGCTGATTACATGAGATTATTTCCCTTGGAAGTTGCCCAGAAATGAAAAAAATATTTTGTATAGTGTAATTAAATGTGTTCATTTGCTAGATACTTCCATATACATCTTGTCCATAGGATCTTACTTATTTATATTCCATTTTGCACAGTAAATGAAAGGCAGATACAGGAAGGGTAAACAAAGGATAAAACCTCTTCTGTGCTTTTTTTAACATAAACAATATAGGTAGCTGAGTTTTATTACCATTTTCCCCATCAGATTTCCGTTCGTGGTCAGTGTCCGTCAAGGACAATGCAGAGTTGGCTCGGCTTGACAAACAGGAACTGTGCTCTGACTTCATTCCTCTTATCCACATTCTCAGTGCATGGTCAGGAGAAGTTGCACCTTCTGTCTCTGTGTCCACATCAGATCCCATCTCTAGCTGGTAGCCATGCCGAGAAACACTGTGCATATCTGTCTGGTAGCCAGAGCACAGAGTGTGAGGAGTTTCACAGAATTCTATCTCTGAAAAGAAACACAGTTCAGAGCAAAGTGTTAGAGTTATGGGGGAAAAAACACCCCTAAAATTCTGCTTTTCTCCTCATGCTTCCCCTTCTCCATTGGTAGTAATTATGAATTTTTCAGTTAAAATTCAGGTTTTGGAGGCTAGGATTCTGTGCCTATTTTGACCTTTGGTAGCCTAAAATTATGCTCCTTGTTGATCCTTACAATGTTCTGAATAAAGCATTCCCAAAGTAGCTCTGTAGCTACAATTTTAGGTTGCACAAAATGTAATGAAATAAGAGAGGGCAGAAGAGTATTGTTTTCCACTAAAAGCCAGTTATCTTCTAGAGAGAACATTTCATATATATAAATCTATAGAGCTTGTATAATATATAGAACATTCCTAAGCTTGAAATATTAAAATTATTTTCTTTTAAGTATTTCATATAGATTGGGGTTAAGAATAAATAATTCATAGTTAGACGTCTGTGCAAAATATTAAATTTACATATATTTTTATAAAGTATTATTCCTAAAACATGTTAGTTTAAGCTCTCAAATTATGAGCACCTAAAATTAATATTTACCATTTTCTCAAAAGGATTTCAGACCTACTGATGACCTACTCTATGCTAATTATTCTATTTAATTCATTCTTTCAACAAATACATACAAACTATTCAGTCACATATCACTCCATGGCTGTGCTTCATGGTTTTGATTTTCCCCCCTTTCCCTCTAAATCTCAGAATATTAAATGTTTACAATCTTAAAGGTGATATAGCAAATTTCTTCTGATAGCTGAGGTATATTAAGTGCTGAATGTAGATGTTATTTGTTCTCAACCACAGAACGCTTTTTACAAAAATACCTGTTTGGACATCATTTCTGCTAGACACCAGTGAAGTCCCATCAACTCACTGCACAAATATTAGTCCTTGTGCCTTACAGGTAATTTTATATTCAATTATGGCAAGGTGTCAAAAAAAGGAAAAGATGCTTTAAGAATCCCTAATAAGTTAATGAAAAATGACCACATGCCAAGACATATCATCTGAAATGTCTATTTAATACTTAGATAAGGTAATCCGGGGATGTAGTACACTATATAGGATTTCTCAGACTGCCATCAGAGACAGAGTATGTCATTTGGCCAGGAAGAGGCTTAACTAAGTGCATCTAATCCTCAGCACATATCAATAAAATGTAATCCCTAACATGAATTTATTCTTTCAATTTAAAAAGTGCTGGTGCCTATACCATTTATTAGAGAAAACAATATAGAATAGAAATATATTTGTTATAATAACTATTTCTCAGATGTATAAATGGCTAAATATGGGCTTATCAAATCAATTCTTGATGCTTATTTAATAGCCACTAGGAATCTAGCACTGTGCTTTGTGAAACAGATATTATAGAGAAATAAAGTTACTATACTGTGTTATGAAGACTAAATTATAATAAAGTCAGGGTTATAATTCACCACTGAGAATGTTACTTTATAATTTCTATGAGGAGAAGTAATTCTGTTTTTGGGCTGGGGAGACAGCTCAGTGGCATAAGCCTCTGCCTGGCCTGCACAAGGTCCTGATTTCAAGTCCTGATACTGAAAAAAAGTTTACAGAAATAATTCTGTTTTTCTGTACAAGTTATCTAAATTTGGGTTAATGCTTTAAAAATAATGATATTGTCTACTTATGAAACATAAGACTATCAAATTATGGTTCTCCTTGATATAAGGCTAAAAGTAAAAATCCTTTTTACCCGATATAAATCTTAGGGACTTAGAATATTGGGATATGTTAATATTCGTGTGCCTTAATGTCACTATTTAATCCTACTGTGCAGTTGTTTCTACAGCAACCTGGTAATGAACCTGTGTGCTTGAAGCTGTAACAAAGGAAATTTCCATAGGCTTCCGCTCACAACTTCCTTCATTCCTCTAAACCAGTAGCTCTAAAACTTTCCACTTCAGAATCACCAGGAAGGCGTATTTAAACATGGATTTCGGTATCCTACATCCACCGCCATTCCTGCTTCCCAATTTCAAAAGCACCACATGTGGGGTAGGGCCAGAGAATTTCCATTTTGAATACATTTCCACAAGTGGTCCAAGTTGCTTGCTGGTCTGGGGATCACCACTTTGAAAACTACCGCTCTAGAAATTTCTCCAATCTAACAGAAGACAGGAAAAGAGGAACTATGAGGGCACCATCTTATGGTATTGCTACACCTGCATTACTTCCTTTTGGAGGGACAAGAAAAGAAGTGTTTATTTCAAATTGCTGTGAAGTCCTTCCATTTATGAATTCAAGGTACTAAGAAATTTATTTCCACAAGCACAGACTTGAATTTAGTTTCATTCGAAAAATGGCATGTGAATTGTGGCTTTCCAAGGTTTTTAGTATAAGCATTTGAGTCATGATATTTGTTAAAAAATGAGCAAATAAAAATAAATACAATTAAGCTATTTTACTAGCCACTAACGTTCAGATTTCAAAATTTTTCTGTGTTATTTTTACTTTTTTTTTTTGCAGAACCAGGGATTGATCTCAGGCCCTTGCACTTGCCATGCAAGTGATTATTCTACTGAGCTATCTCCCCAGCCCTTTATATGTGTTTGAAAAAAGTGTTGACTATATTTTTAGTTCCATTTGTGATTGAGGATTCAAATGTAAAGACACAACTAAATCAATTAGGTATTTATGAAATCAGTTCTTTGTGAGCTTAGAATTCAAATGTCACAAATAAAAGCCATGTAACTATAAAAATTAAATAAAAAATAAATATATGGCCATTTGTAATGCCAGATTGATAAAACATGAGATACAATTTTTATAAAAGAGCACTGACAGATACAAACATGTTCCCTTTTTATTAAAATAATTTTTCCAAAGCAAGACCCAATTTGAATGTGGATTGTTCCTTTCTAATGAAATTTCATGTAACATAATAAAAATGAATAAAATAATTTATGTTCTACTGGAAGTGTGCACTGATTTGCAAACAAAAGACTAAATCATCACAAATTGTGTACCTAAATGAAGTCAGGTAAATATATGCTTCCATGTCAACCTATGATTTAAAAAGTAGCACCTCAATAGGCTATCACTCAGTCTTCTATTTAAATGTGGCAAATATAAGAAGAAAGGAGCGAAAGCACTTCATTTATTTACATCAAATTATGTTCACTGAACTGCCTCATTTCTGTTTCCTGAAATCATTGTTACCATTGTAAAATACTTCCTTAAATACACAACAGTTTTGGTTGTGCTTTAAACTCCCATTGGATGCTTCATCTATAAAACACTTACAATGAAATTTAAGTGGTTGTTTTATAGCCTTTCATGTATAACCTTATTACCTGAAATACTACATTTCCTCTAGAGAAGATAAAGTTCAGCTGAATTACTATAGAGCTGTTCTTCTCAAAGAAGCTGGCCACAAGAGAAAGATAGGTACAAATTTGGAAAATCTCAGCTTTGAATGGATAGACTGTAACCATGGGAAACTACATATCCACAGTAAACAAGGGTAGATATAGTCAAATAAATGACATATTTGAAGTCTTATGAATGTGTTTCTAATTTTTATTTCTAAGAAAATCTGTTCTGCAATTTTTCAAAGGATAAAATCCCAGGAGATTAATAAAGAGTTGGAATTCTACTTTTAAATTGGCAAAAGGTTTGAAAAGACACTTAAAAACAAAAGATACAGAAATCAACAATGAGGAAACAAGAAGATGTTTAGCATCATTAGTTACTTGGCAGATGGGCTCCAAAACCACAATGAGATGCAACTGCCTATCCACTAGAAGGCTTAATCAAAGCACACCATGCCAAACATTACCAAGGATGTGGAGCAATACCAATTTTCGTACAATGGTGATGCAAAAAATTAAACCTCTATAACAAATCTGGAAAAAGTTTGACAGTTTCCTAAAAAGTTAGAGGTATAATTACTAAAAGAATAATTCTATTACTGGACATTTATCGGAAAGAATTGAAAACTTGTCTCTAAATAAAAATGTATATAAAGTTGGTTATTTATGCATTTTATGAATAATAAATAAAAAGTAGAGATCACCTAAGTGTTCTTGAATAGGTAAACAAGTAACATCAGACAATTCCACAAAATGGAGTATTACTAACTCATAAAAAGGAATGAATTGCTGACAGATAAGAACATAGATGTACTGCAAGATCATTACCCTGACTGGAAGCAAATAGATGAAAAATTCACATGCTGTATATTTTCAATGATACACAATGCTGTGAAATGAAATCTGTATTGCCTATTTTCATAAGAAAGAAGATGGAGACAGAGATTTATAACAAAGAAACAAAAGAAAACTTGGGCACTTTATTGAAGTTTATTGTAGTTCAATTATACTTCTGTAAAGTGTTTTTAAATGTGTTTTGCATCAACAGGGATTAGAGGTCTGATCAGTCATTTTTCACAGATGAAGCAAGTGATGGAAGAAGTTCCAGCTCTTTTCCCTCCGATCAAAAAAAAAGTGCATGGAATAAGAACAAGAAGATAGTCAAAATGCTACCTTATTTACATCTAAGACAAGAGGCAATCAAGATCCTCTGGGGAGTACTTTTGTCCCAGAGATATTAAGACTTGAAAGCCTACTTTAGGAGAAGATCTAAAGATGAAACTGATCACTGCTGACTTTTCGGCAACTGAGTTTGTAGCTGGGAGTCATAAGCTAACTTGGATGATTCTGGCACATAGGATCACCTTAGGCTTTTATGAATATTAGTAAATTAATAATTTTTTAAGAAATTGAATGAAATGCTGAATAAAATGATATTTTTTCTATGAAACTAGGAGCTGATTTTTCAAGTATACTGCATGAAGAAGTCATTTATCAAAACTTGAAAGGGAAATTAACGGTTTATATATACAGTATCAGGAGTTTTCTAGGCATACTCTTTCTTAATTTTTGATATACTGAAGATTTTATTCTTCCTAAAATTCTACCTATTTTCACTTCCCATATAAAGGGAAAT